GATCAGCAGCTGTCCCACATCCTGGACCAGCGTGATCTTCGTGTGAGGTTTGCCCACTTGATCAGCAAGCGTATGCTGCCAAGGGACATCCTGAAGCGCGCGGCTTCTAGCGCTCACGATGAGCGCGGGTACGGTATGTATTCATCATCCGTACCCCGTTCGGGCAAGAAGCCCCGGACTACTTATGAAGCTGCCGCCGCTTCTGTTCCCAGATTGCGACAGCCTTCGGGCAGTCAATCAGGAGCCGTTCAATCGGCTCCCACGAGTTCCCGGAGTGGGCATAACCCCTCCACTTCACGAGGAGCTGTCGCTTCCCGCGACACCGTTGCTCCTGGAGGATCCGCTCCACGTGGAAGTGGACTTCTCCATTCCGGTCAAGCAGGGGCGGAGGTGCCCTCGTACGAGTACGAGTACTCGGCGCCTCCCGAGAGCCACTCTCGTCCGAGTGCTCCGACTGCGGGTCCGACACGGGACCCTGAGGTTGACCGCCTCCGTCAACGTCTCCTCGTGCTTGAGATTGCACTTGGCCTTGGGACTGGCGGTAATGCTGCCGCCCAGGCCGGGAATCAGGGCGAGCTCGCTCGTCTTGCGGGTCGCCTGGACCTGGTGGAGCGAGAGGTCGCGAGCCTGCACCTGCGGGTGGACCGCCGGGCCTCTTCGTCCGATCTGGACGAGGCCTTTCGCATGATCCGACGGATCGAGGCTTTGTTGCCACGTCCGGAGCCGCCTGCGGCACACTCCCAGACGTACGCGTATGGTGCGTACCCGGCGTACTCAGCGTACTCGGCGTATGGCGCCGGGGTCCGTTCGTATGGAGCCCCTCCGGCGTACGGTCTTGACCGCAGCCTTGCCGTCCCGACCGAGGCTTGGGTGCCTGCTCCGACGCCCTCGTCGACGACTGTGACCGGCCCTCGCTTCGAGGAGCTGGGTCAAGGGGGGTCTGCGAGTCAGCAACCCCCTGCGGGTCAAAGTACCGCTTAAGACGTCCGACATAGAACGTCGGGTGCGTCGTCATTGACTTTGGAAGGTCGATGGTGTACGACGCACCATGTCTGGCCAGGACTGCAAAAGGTCCGATGAAGCGGTGCTTCAGCTTGTTGCTGCCGACAGAGCTGACAGTGTCTAGCGGTAGGTTCCTCGTGTCTAATAGCACTAAGTCCCCCACTTTAAATACACTTAAGTTTCCTCTTCCATGTTTGTCTGAGTACTCCTTTTGTCTATCCTGGGCCGCTGCCATGGCATCGC